ATTTCTTTAATTTTCATACGGATTGATACGCTGTGGTTTCATGTAGTACTCCATTTCTTTAATTTTTATACGGATTGATACGCTGTGGATTCATGTAATACTATATTTCTTTAATTTTCATACGGATTGATACGCTGTGGTTTCATGTAGTACTCCATTTCTTTAATGTTCATACGGATTGATACGCTGTGGTTTCATGTAGTACTTAAAAAAATGAGCCCTTAATGCGGATTTGTAAGTTACCAAGTACATATTTATGTGATACAAAAATGAGATCCGTTCAATGCAAACTACATACCATTGCGGTACTCGGCATACCAGAAGACATCACCATGCAATTAGGTCATGGTATATAATATAATGTCAATTTTTAAATATCAATCTAGTGCTTGTGATCTGATTTTAGATGTAAGACATTATTCGACGTCTTTTTTATAAAGTACATTTAAAACGTTTTCAGCTGGTGATGCATTCACATAAAATGAAAGTCGTTCATGATAAAAACATCATAGTACAAAACAAAAAACCGCAAAACAGACTACTCTCCGTTAGAATTTTTAATATGGAATTTTACATTGAAACCCCAAAAATGATTAAGTTTGATTCAACCGTCCTATTTTGGTGTCTTCTTGCGGGGTGAACGTCTTCGTTCTGAAGAACCTGAAACATATATAAAATGTATTTTATTATTTTTTTGTCTGTTTCCATAGGTATTATTTATAATTCACTTGAGAGAAATGCATCACTGATACAACATTTTGACATAAACGATCCAACTGTGCAACGGAATATTTAATAACACATTTAAAAAAAAAGGCAAATAACGCTTTTACTAAACTATAGAGTCCACTGTATTAAACATGAACGTGTGTGTGTGGACTGTGTCCATGAGGCTGTGTGCTAAAATAAATATTGGAATAAAATGTATTTATTTATTTATTTTATTTACTGTTTAAACATGTACGTGTTAACATAGATACATGAAGCATACATATCGTGTCATATTAATATTTCAATACTACTGACCCTCCATATTTTAAAAGTGTGAAAATAACATAATTCTACCTTTCGCCGTGTCTTTTGTCTCTTTTCCAGTACATTTCTTGTTCTTTCCAGAATGTCCCTCCCTGGTGGGTCTTTTTGGTGTTGCATCTTTGTCAGGCGTAATTGAAGTCCCGCCGTCAGTCTTCATCTTTTTAGGATCTTTACCTTTAGTTGTAACAAGACAAACATATATAAATATTTTAACCGTAGTGGAACATTAGGATTAAGGCAAGAAATATAAAAAAGTAAAGAATCCTTCTTACCCAGTGATTGCAAATTGAGCAAGCTTTTTCCTCGTCTCTTGTGCAAGGTTCTGGTTTCCGTTTCTGGAACATGAATAAATAAAATAAATATATAACGTTCTATATATGTCACTGCGTAAACGATACAGGTGTTAGTTGATAGAATCCCGTATCTAACTGACGAAAATGATTTTAACAATAGTTAAAACATCCTATAATTTGTTAAAATATAACAACATTGATATTTTATTTTAAGAATGATTTGAAAATGCACAATTTTGTTAGCGTTCTGATATGCAATGCCATCTTTTTAAATACTATATATTAAGTATACAAACATTTACTCTGTCAAGTAATGGTACCGACGGACAAGTAGAACATGCGTTCTTTATTGCATTGACATTTATTTATTAATTACATTCTATTGAATCTTCTACATTATGCATACGATATGTTTCAGGAGTAGCCATGGCATACGATTGTTATACCACTACCTCTGAGTACAGTTTCGAGTACGGCAGTCTGAGGTATAAGAGTGAGTCGTTCTACTGTAATGACGGTTGTTGTGGAGGGTTCTCTGGCTACTACTACTGCTGTCCTGCACCAGACGTCGACTACTACGGCTATTCAGAGTATGTGTAAGTACGCAACCGGAACCGGATATAGAAATACGATCTGATGTTTAAATCGACCACGGACCTACTACAGTGTAGGATGAAGGGTACACTTAATTCATGGCTATATCGAAATGATATCTTTCACATTTGTGAACATCAGACCTAAATGGTCTAAAAAATATATGGAATGATATTGTTACGTAGATCATTGTTGTCCCTGTATACCAGAATGATATATATTTTTTCATTTAATTTTATTTAGTTCTTTATTTGAATTCTGTACACCCGGACTTATTTTCATTGGGTGTGCAATATCATTTTGCATATATGCAAAACCATGGTCGGGGTATACAGAATCGTTTAAGTTGTGACTTCCTTGTCAGGATGTATGACCTTGATGTCTTTGTCAATCTTCAGCCAGTTGAATAATAACAAGGCGATGTCCCCTGTAACAATGTCCTGGTGAGGGCAGTATCTGTTATATACAATATTGTGGTATATTATGCATGTTTATTTTTAGATCCAAAGCTACCGGGGGGATCATAGCCGGTATAGTGATCGGCAGTCTGGTCGGCGTAGGGCTATTCGTAGCCTTTATTGTTTTCATATGTGTGTGCTGTGTGAACGCCAACCGACGCTCCATGCCCGGACAGGTTATAGGGACACCGGCGACCGGACAACAAATCGCATACGTCAACACACGTGAGTACAAAGTGGATCACGTCTTCAGACAAACCTAACCGTCAACATAGCTATACTTGAATGTCTATGAAATATTGTGTTGGATTTAGAGTATTTTGTTAAATAGTAAAACTTGCTCATTGATATCAAGTTGGCATCGATTGGTCAGTTTTGGAGTTGTTTTATGTTGTTCTGAGCTATATGATAATGCAAAATTCCTTTTTTTCAGAAGCAGAATCATCATGCCAATCATTTCTTAACTTCACTGGCCCTAGTCCTGAATAATTAAAGAAATCTTTCCAAACTATCATCTGCGTCATACTTTCATTTGATCATGAGCTGTTTCAGTATATATACATGGCAATATTTTTTACTTAATCTTGATACATTGTTTCCAAATATTATTTAAACTGTGTACAAAGAACTCTTTATATGTTTTGGCGTAATTGACCCAACAGACATTGCATGCAAGGAACCAAAACATGTAGTGTTTGTCTCAAAACCAATTGTTTGTACGACGTCAAATCGCAGTTCCGGGTTTATATGTGCTTATCTCGTTCAACCATTTAGGCAAGTAGTCTTGCGGATACAACATAAAGTGCAGGGAAATCTCACTTTTTCAAAGCAGCTGGTTTTCCAATGGAACATTTGTTCGATCTCGATAATTGTAATTTCCTTGATTGTTGAAGTTGAGGTATACATTTTTCTATCGTTTGCTGACGCCGTGTTTGTTTCGACGCTGTGGTGTAGTTCTTCTGTTGTTTAGACGCTGTGGTGTAGTTTGTCTGTTGTTAAGACGCTGTGGTGTAGTTCGTCTGTTGTTTAGACGCTGTGAAATATTTTGTCCTTTTGTTTAGACGCTGTGGTGTAGTTCGTCTGTTGTTTAGACGCTGTGGTGTAGTTCGTCTGTTGTTGAGACGCTGTGGTGTAGTTCGTCTGTTGTTTAGACGCTGTGGTGTAGTTCGTCTGTTATTTTGACTCGGTTGTTTACCTTGCTGTTATGGGTTGATGCTGTAGTAAATGCTTGTCTTTTTGACTTCTGATTGTTTTAATCACAATCATTTTTTTGTTTAGTTTTTTTTATATATTTTTGTATGTATCTCATATCGACTAACTATTTGAGGATTAGATACAATAAAGCAATATCGTATCCTGTTTGTGGACAATCATATCCTGTCTGTGGACAATATCATATCCTGTCTATGGACAATATCATATCCTGTCTGTAGACAATATTATATCCTGTTTGTGGACAATATAATATCCTGTTTGTGAACAATATCATATCATGTTTGTGGACAATATCATATCCTGTCTGTGGACAATATCATCCGGTAAATGGACACTAGAAATATTCCCCAAAGTAGATAACAGTTTATCACCCATTTACTTCAGATGGCGTAACATATGGAGAGGTAAGAGCATGTGGTGTGCGGGCTGCACGAGACTTCTGCATATACCAGAATGTTTATCAGACTACCAGCAGTATCAGAATGGTTTCTCTTTATCTTATCAAATATAGTCTCAGTGGTGTCACCCTAGTAACATGTAGCACCTTTAGGTCTCAAAAGTTAAAAAGAAAAATACCATATTACTAAATGCTACGATGATTTAGGACTGGTGACGCTGTATTGTACTAGTAAGCACTTATGTAATACAAATCCAGATGCTATGAGGAAATAAAACCCGAATTAAATTACATGTATCAGCCATCAACATAACGCATCAACAATGGTACATCGTATAAGTCGTTTTCCAGACTATGTGATAAATCTGAAATTAAACCATCTATTCAAACATGAAGAGTACAATACATTTAATCACATAGAACCAGTTGATGATAAGCGGACCAAATGCTAGTAGTTTTGTTACAGGTCAGTATTTGGTCAGAGGTACGGTCAATGGGAAGGTATACATGTACTCGTTTTATGTTCGACCTATCTGGGGATGTGAAATAAACACCTCTTAAAACAAAGAATCACGGCATCATGACAGGGAAGTCATATTTCGCCATTACTACAGTGTATTGACAATACAAATCTTCAGTTGATTTTTTTCAAAATAAGTTAACACTATCGCAATATGAAATTCTTCTCATTTTTCTTTCTTTCTTTTTTCTTTGTGTTTGTAAGCTCTATACCATTCAAAATACAAATCAAAAGAATCGTATATGCAGTATAGCATGAAGTTAACAGTAAGGGGTGAGGCGACAAAGGATTGGTTTTCAGCAGAACCAGGGTTTTTCGCGTCTTCTTATTGGACATAAAGGAAACCACAATAGATAGCCCCCCTCCCCCACTGCAACGAGCAACACTTGGGATCTCTATCTATTCTGTTCTCATTTTTCTGCTCTTTTCGTTTTGCCGTATCTCACTATACACCCATCTCCATATGATCTAGCTGTTGTGAGGGCGTTAAGTAAACAAACGATGCAGTAAGCATTGGTCGATGTGCATGTATTATGCATCCTCGATATCAAAGGGTTACCCTCACTTCCGCTCTCTGCACCCCTGGAATATGTCATAGCAAAATTGAAGGCTCAGTATATGCCACCTTCTTGATGAGACTAGTTCGATCCTTTGATGTACATCAAAATAATTTCGCGGTCACGTAACGGTAAAAATTGTACCTGAGACCAATCAAACAGCTATCTTCGTGCCTTCAATTATGCTTTGACATATTCCAGGGGTGTAGAGAGCGAAAGTAAGCGTAACCCCTGGATTTCGAGGATGTGTGTTATGGGACACGTTCTTGTAAAAGAAAATTTGCGATTGGAAAACTTAACACCATAAAGCAGACATAAGAGTTGTCAAAACTGAAGTTCTGATATAACTATCATAAATGTAAATTTGTTTTCAACTTGATGAAATTTCAGATTCTGTCCAGCCGGGATATATAGCTCAACCAGGAATGCAACCCTATCGTAACCAAGGTTTTACGCCGGACGCTGGTACCGCGTACATTCCCGGACCAGTCACCTACACACCTGGTGGACAGTACTCCCCTTCCTGTGATATCGGTGCCGAAGGTGGATTCGGCGGTGGAATCGCCTCGTGTGATGGCGGCGGGATTGGGGGTGGATTAGGGGGTGGTAGTGACTGTGGAGGAGGAGGAGGAGGAGGAGGTGGGGGGGGTGGTGGTGGTGGTGGTGGTAGTGGTGATGGTGGTGGAGGAGGCTGTGGCGGAGGAGATTGAAAAATACTATTTTTATATCAAAGTAGTTGTGATTCATCATTTATGATACTGTATATAACATATATGCATATGTGATATATTATATATATGTGAGAGATTATGTGAAGTATATACAGATAATGTATTTTTTCTGATAGAGTAGCACTCAGGGTTATGCTAGAAATAAACTATGCATATTCGTGTATAAAAATCGCATATCTGTTAGATTTTTGTTTTCACCTGTACACATTTCTCGGTAACTTTTATAACTTGAATGAATTAAGGATTCTGGTGTTTTTTTTAAATTTCAGTAAAAGATAATTTACAGCTGATCTCTGTGTATATTTTAGACAAAAAGTTGATCCATCAATTCTGTGAAAACAAGAACCTATTTACTTAAAATTTGTTTATTTACTTAAATAACTGTCTGACCTTTCTCCACTATGGCATCATGCTGTTTTATTATAGAAATGCTTATTTACTGCTGCTCTTGCCCCAGTTGTAAAGGTTTACAAGGTTTGCCAATATACCCTGATGTTTTTAATAGGGTTTTATTGGAAAGGAACGAGTTGTTAAGTCCGGTCGTATATAATATCGGTATGACACGAACGATGAACAAACATGATGGAGTGGCTTCCCTTGATTGAAACTATCACCTACATTTCGTTGTAAAATATGGTAATATGTGCATTTGTATTCTCGCCTTCACAATTTCTGTAATCATTTTTTGTTGAGTAGAATTCAATAATGTCTTTAAAACCTATTCCAATTACTGTATGTAAAAGCAATACAATATGTTTAAACTAAGATTGAATATGTTTGTCTTAAATCAATATTTTATATAATTAATATTTTATATCATTTATATAAGTGTGTTATTTGAAAATTAAATATCATTTTGAATAAATATATATTATATCCCTACTCCATTTTAAATTAGAGCCGTAAGATTATTTTTATCGGAAGAACTGATGGAAATGATTTATTTATTATCATTTATTGAACAGATAAGCAAGTAGCAATATATTTGGTTGATAGTATTTCAAAAACTTTGATTTGACCGGAAAATCATGACTAATTCCACAGAAGGAACAACAATAACTAACTTACCTAAGTATCTCATGTCTTTTAGTATTATGTTTTTTTTATTTTTTATTTTTGTGATTTGTTAATTTTGCTTTAAGTAACCAATGTAACTAGATCAACAAAGAAAAGAAAAGAAATTATCTTGTATATCAGGCAAAAACTTATTGTTAGCCGTTTAAAGGAATTCTTATCTATGATCTCTGATAAGAGAAACTAGAAGTAGCTGTTTTAGAAATGCAAAAGCTTATTTTTTCATAATATTTTGATGTTTCTTAGTTATCGTTTGTTTTAAATAAACTACTGTTAATTAAGAATCTAGCATTTTGTTTTCATTGAAGTATTTTTTTCATGTAACGAGGGTTTCGTTAGTGCTCTTTATATTAAGGATGTACTCCTCCAAGAAGTCTAAACATTCCAGTATTAATCTTTTTTTCTTTTATGTATTTTTGGAAATAAGAGTTAATGACATAGTAGAAAATTCAAAAAACAATATACATTGCGTAGATGTCTGTTTGTTTGTTTTTGTGCTATGTTCGCTCAAAGATACCAATTTTACAAAATATGTGAGTTTAGGTGATCGGTCTAGTTTAGACCATTTGCAGAACAATTTCATACAAGATCTTCTAAGTGTGTTATCCGATATGAATGAATGTTTGCAGAATCGATAAAAAACAGTGGGTTTTTTTTTATTCTAAAGGATGTAAACATTTCTAAAACTAAAGAATTGTTATTTAAGTTACCCCTACCCCTATTGTTAATGAAAAAAAAGTTTTTACCATCTTTTAGCAGATTTAATGCTTGATATTAAAAGTTTTAAATATTTCATGGATAAAAAGCATTTTTGTTTCTCTTTTTAAAACAGTCACAAAAATGGGGATCCGTATGCTTCACTTTTTGACCAATTATTATTTGTGTTATTTTTCACTTTTTCGGGGCTGAAAATCAAAAGTGCTNCACTTTGTTGCATAATTATCATTTTTATCGTATTGACCATTATAAAGTTGAATTAACAAAACTGAGCTTGCTTCAATTGAAATTATGATTTAGTGATCAATCTAGTATCGATAGAGTGTTATTTTGGCCTTTCTTGAAGCGCAAGAAATACACATTTTCGAAATGGCCGCCGAATTGGTAATTTTTGAAAAAAACGTTGCAAAAATAGTTCTACAATTAATAGGCATCTACTTTTCGACACATCGTTAAGATGCGTGTTTGGCTTTAGAATTGATCATATGATTATTTGTCAAATATTACATAAACAAGTTATAATAGTTTAAACCAAGACTTGAACGTGATTAAAACCTCAGAAGAGTACATCCTTAATATGTTATATGATGTGTTTACGTGCTATTCTTGTTTAATCTGAATGTCCGTTTTTATTACTCGGACATATTGTGTTTCACATACCAAACATCTGCTAGTTCGTTGAACAGCAATGACAAAAATAATCATTGTAATAATCTTTCCAGCTTAAACTATTTAACCTGTTAATGTTTGGTTGCTGAACAGAGTATTCGGATGTAAATACGATAGACGTATTGATATTTGGATCGACATTAAGCTCCAAATTGGAGGAGAGGATATTAATAATAAATTAAAAGATCATTTTTTTTCAAAATACGCATTCTATTAATTCCACGTCTGGATTAAACAGTATCACATAAGGACTGTGACCTAGATTCAATTATGTTATGTACTCTGATTTAATGTTATCATTTGAAGTTTGGAAAGTGGCTTGGTTAAATGATTTAATCTTATTATGAGTGTTTGGTAGTGGAGTAGTTAAAGGTTTGGAGTACAAACGAGGTATATCCTTATTATTAACCAGTAATCGGAAAGACCGAATCTGACAATTTCATAATGTGCGAGTAGGGTTTCTTTTATTGTTAGGCAGGCATTGTTCTTCTTGAAGCTAAAAATAATGCAGTGTTAACAGACAAATGTTAAGATGCTTTGCCTATAAACAACGCTGTTGGTCGAGTGCCGTTTGTACATCGGGGTCAAGAAATTCCAATTAGCGTTATTTATCAAGGGGAGTTCAAAGTGATAGTACTTTATTGAATGGTGGAACTGATCGATTTAACATACTCTGTAGGTGTATCCAATGAAGCATGTTTTTCAACAGAATCCTTCAGCATTAGAAATAAAATCAGAACACCAGACAGGACTGGACCAGCTGGACTTATAGAGATTTAGAACAAGAACATGCTGACGTAAAAAGCATTGTTAATGTCATCTTAATTTAGATGTTATAGCGTTTGCTTGTACAAGTAGTTCAAAAGCAATAGATTTGAATAAGAATAGTACTGTTGTGTCTGAAGTTAGGTGATATGTTAGCTTCAACAGACTTGTGGTTAAGCATATCTACTGCTGTGATGATGACCGTTACATCCTCGACGTGACTGTGTACTACCTGTAGGCATTGGTGTGTAATCTGATTCTGTACACCAGAGATCTGACCATGGATACATTACGCGGTCGTCCCTGTATATTTTGACGACGCTAAATTTGGGATTTGTCAAACCTGAAAACATTATTATAGTGCTATTGAAGAAGTGTTCACACTCAAAGTATAGCATGCCACATTTCAAATTAGTTTGATACAAGTAAGGTATTAGTTAAGTATCCGGAAGAAGCACGCGTAAGTCTCATAAATCTATGTATACAAAATGGCATAAATCTTGTAACACTAATACCATCGAGCCAAAACCAACTTTAAATACCACAGCACATTCATACATGAATGCGTAACCTGTTTGGTGTTTAATAACTCGGTATTATGAAGAAAAAAATCTAAAAATCGAGCTAGGTTTTTTTTGTCCATTAAATTTATATTAGAGGAATGCTTTTTTAATCAATGATAAACATTTAAACATCCCATCGTTGGCATCATATCCGAATAATTCCAAACAAGGTAGAAAGGTCTTTCCATCCTAAAGGAATAGTCTTACCTGCTGTGGTCTTTTGATGTTACACTCAAGATCGCCCGTCAATCTTTAGGGTGAAAATTCCGTTAACTTTATATGTGGTCTTCCAGAGCCTGACATTTTTTCCGGCTTTCCAAATATTTCTCTGTGCTGTATTGTTGAAATTTACGTTTAAAAACATGCAATTGATCTGTATAGTTTTCAATATTTTAAGATGTCGGAGGACTGAATTTTATATTAACGGCTCAAAATAGAACATCAGGTGCTTTACAGGAGTTACTGCGCTTTGAATATTCTCATGGTAAGCAAACATCATACCTTGCACTCAATATGGGTATATCTTCCCGAACAAATGAAAGTTTTCACTAAATATCATATCCAAAACCTTATTTCATAACTGATATTTTATTAAACATTCATATTGTAGGGACGACGTATCAATAAAGTATAGAACGTATATAGTTATGAAGAGAATTGGACGTATGTTATACAAGTTGAATTAATTGATAAAATATGTTTTGGATAAAAATCTTTCAAACATCTTTGCTGCTTTAAATGACACAGGTAATTCATAAAAAAATCATATTTTCATCGAAACTTATTACCCATTGATTTCGTTATTATGATGGTTACTATTAAAATAGAACAAGAGAAAATTATAAAAACAGCATACCATAGAAGAAATAAAAAATAATATTCTAGCCATATACAGTAAACAATAAACAATATTTACCATAACATGCAAGGTGGGTATCACGTATCACGCCTTGGAAGTGTTCCTACTAATACGGGTTACTACATGTATGTAGATTACCTAACACGATGGCATTTCAAAAGACACAAACACATTCGTATGGTTCAAATTAGTTTTAACTAATGGTAGGACTATTTAAATTAATCAATGGAAGCATGAAAAGTGATCTTTCTTTAATCTTTGTTTTTTTCACCCTATTTTTCTCATAGAAAAATTGTGACTGATAATCATCAAATTGACGAAAACGCTTTAGTTATGAGGAGAACACATTTCTCTGCTAAATTATCTAGCTGTATTAGAAAAAAAAATGTAACGAATCATGCTAGTCCAAAAGATATAAAACAACCGTCAAACTTACTGAGGATGTCGCCATCAGTCATTATATTGGCTTCAATGGGAACACATCTGCATAAAACTGACGTAAAAGAAACACTGCATCATCATTACAGATTAATGTCTGTCGTTAAAAGCACAACTCTCCGTTCAAGCACAGTTACGGAAAGTTTTAAATGGCCGCGTGCAAATCATAGGGGAAATCACCTAAAGAATCAAGTTGGAAAACAAGCATTGGGCTTTATTAACTGGCGTTTAGCAAAGTTAACAATGAGTTATATTTCAATAGCTTGTTGATAATTAAACTCTATCATTAATCACTGTATGAATAGAGATCAGGTCAGATACGGAGTAATAGCACCGACGAAGATATTGTATGAGAAAGTGCTGTTCTATCTTTATCGGGAAAAAACCGATTTCAAATAATCTTGGAACCTCATGATTCATGTCAAATTGACTTGATTTAAAAATAAAATAAAAAAACACTGACGAACACGAAAGCATTACAATTAAATCCCTACTGTAACAAATTGATGCACGTACATTTGCAAACATAGTTTTCAATATCAATATCACGAGCCCGGCGTCCTACCACTAGACTTCATTGCCTCCAATTTACAATTTAGATACGCGTTTACTCTATTTATGCATTTTTTGGGTTATTTGTACAAGCAATTCTTTTTCTCAAGCATGGAGACTGGGTTGTTATCAAGTCAAATTATGCTGGTACACGTTTATTCAAAATACAGTAGCAATGTAGATCGATGGCCTATTGATATGTGCTAATTTTCCGTTCCATTTAAAAACGTAGTTTTAGACGGTAAGCCGGGATTTAATATATAACAAGAGTTTAACTCCAGGTAACCTTTTGATGTACTACCTTTGCCGATTCCATTTCTTTTCTTTTATCAAATCAGCTACGCCGCTGTGTACCTCTCATACATTGCCTGTTTTGTATTTAAAACACTCCTTGAAATAAGGTTGTCTGTGTCAGACGACTCCTAAGTATACCACTTATTAGACCATGTTCTACTGACATGTAATAGACTATGTTCTACTGACATGTATTAGACCATGTTATACTGACATGTAATAGACCATGTTCTACTGACATGTATTAG